CTATTACATAAAATTTCAAGTTATTTCAAGTTACTAGTGAAAGAAAATTAACCAATCAGCACACGCGATGCGACGGGACAGCGTGAAATAGCTGACTGCGTCTCTTAGTAGCGATTAATATCGAATCACAACGAAAGATGAGCAAAGAAAAACGACGCGTAGACAATTGTTTCTCGTAAAATTCGATGCTAACCGCTGCTACGAGAGACAAACGCGCCGTCAAAACTATTTTCATGCGATCGCCACCGTTCCGCCATATCGTACATATTGGTTCGTCAATTTTCTTTTATTAATAATTTAAAATTTGTAAGTGATTATCTCAAAAATGAAAGAGGACTATTCTGCTCAGTTTCACCCATTCTATCCGCACACGAACTTTGTCATATGTTCTGACGGGCACCCTATATAAGACAAAGGAACAATTCAAAACTCGGTAAATCGAGTGGAAATTACTGTCTTATAAAATTCCAGTTGACGAACGTACACGCTGCTCATCTGATTGATTCGTTTGTCACGGATTTGGCATTTCGGTTATTCGATTTAAGGAGCGCAGTTACTGCAGAAATTAATGACCGCGCGCGCGCAACTACGTGTCTCCACGCTCGTATGCGCGTTTGTGCGGAAATTGCGTGCGAATAAAACGGTGCGCGTTGCCAAATTGTGTCGCGAAAATAATCGCCGACGCGCGCCGCTGCTTTCCGCCGTGCTTTTCCGACCCATCTGCACCGATCGTAATCATCGTTGATTACATTATACGCATTATTGATCAAAGTTTAAAAACGCATTATTCCTGAAATCGGTTTGGCAGCGACATTACTGGCGTTATAATTAATGACGTCGGTGAAATCAGCTTTGCAATGCACATTGTGCGCGCGCGCGCGCGCGAGTGCGGATGGATGAAAAGGTATCTACTTTTCCGCGAACTATATTGTCGTGAGAGCGTTATTAAATTTGTATCAGGATTGCAAAAGAGTAGCTCGCGCACCGATATTTGCGCCATTTAATGTACATTGCATCCGGTGCAGAGAAAAAGAGAGAGAGAGAGAGAGAGAGAGAGAGACAGGGGGAGAGAGGGAGAGAGGGAGACAAAGAGAAAGAAGAGGAGCGGGGGAAGGACGGAGTCATTTTATTCTTTCATTTGCGCAATTTAATGTAAATGAGAAGCTCATGTTAAATAAATTACGCGATGGGCGCGCGAACTATCGCGCAGGTCGCTATATACGCAACGGCTGCCTGTCTCGGCACGTACACGACAATGGAATACTTAGATCCCGCTGTTGCTCCACCCTCCTCGCGCCATTTTCCATTGTCTTATGATTTATGTTCCCTGGTCGCGGTGTCAACAGGGTATTGATTAAAATACACACACAGCCGCGCCGGGCTGCGTTGCATGTACAGATTTATGCACACACCGGCCCAACCGAGTGCGTGACAACGTCGTCCCTTGTAAATCGGTCATCCCTCTCTCACTACCATATGCCAGGGTCGATGTTGTTAATCGTATAAAAAAAAAAAAACAAAAAAAAATTCCCCGCTTCCAGATCGAATATCGTTTAACAGGAAACACCGAACGTCCTCCTATATAGACCGCTGACAGGATTCTATCTCAGAAATACTTCGAAATGCGCCGAGTGCGCATCGATGGTCTCTACATACCCCGCCCTCCTTGCTCCCTCCGCTAGCGAGTCGTCGTCGACGTATCCTCGAGGATGTTTGGCCGTAAAGTTTATTTTCTTCGTCGTCGAGCAGTGCAACCAACCGTGGCACTCGCCGTGCGAAATTATGCCACGCAAGTTGAACGAAAACGTTCTTGCGCCGCCGCCGCCGCCGCCGCGCGCAACGGCGGATGCAAATCGCAAGAGTACGAAATTCGTTGCGCGATGGAATGCGGTGCACACGATGCGCACCGGTGGCGCCGTGAGAGAGACAGGGAAAATCATATTTCGATTTTACGTCGGCCGCAATTTGCGTTCATAAGTCGACGCGTGATGCATCATCAAACGCGGGTGCGAGCGCTGCGCGCGCATGCGCGCGCACGACCATTATGCGCCATTCATTTAATTTTAATGTCGCAACAATAATCTGACGGATGTTAATTCGACGAGACAAGTATACGTTATAGAAGGAAGGAGCGCGTACACTGTGTATATCCTTCCTCCTGCCCCCCCCCCCCGGCCCCGCCACTCGTCCATCTGCCGCCGCCTCACCAATGATATAAATGGCCGCGCAAAGCGCAGGGGCTGTATCGAGAATGTATACTCGATTCACGCTCGAATGTAACGTACGCGTGAGATATTAATGTTATCGGTACTTTGACAACTCTGCAATTTCCTTCCACCTCGGTGTGTTTCGCATAGTTCGGTAAACTATAACCACATTATATTGTGCGTGAATGCTGCATCGTCCGTATACGGCAATATCGCAAGCGCCGATGGAATCGCTGCGATCAGATTAATGCGCGGTCGCTCTTCGTGCTCGTCGCATTTCGAGTGTCACGAGATCCTCCGGTCCGATGCGGCCGCTTCTCCTCTCGATGGGAGAAGAAAAGGAGGAGAGAAAAAAAAAAGAGGATTTTTCCCATTACTCTGTAGCAATTAGGTAGCCGGGGACATTTATCAAGTAGTTGTCTGGCGTTGTTCCGCGCGCTCACTTCGACGCGCGAGGAAATGTAACGCGCTAAATAATTTGCGCCGTTGGCTCTCATTTTCCTCATCATTCTTGTTTCCCGCTAAAGCGTTTCGTCGTTATTCACACTCGCCTTGCCCCTTCCGCCCTTCATCGCGTTTCTTAATGAATTATAATTTTTGCGTCATGACGGAGACCATCCGCGAGACGATTGTTTGTCCTCGAGCATCGGCCGCGACAATTCCCAACATCGTTTTTTCAAAGTATGCACGCGTCCGCAACACGCGGTACATACATAGTACACACGAACCGCTCTCTCTCTCTCTTCTTCTTCTTCTTCTTCTTCTTCTTCTTTTTCTTCGACAAGAGGCTGCTACTTTTTACCCGGTCCCATGACGAACAACACAGGAGACGAACGGAGGCGCGTCCACTGGCGCGAATGCTCGTCGACAGACGAAGTGACTCGTTATCTTAAGAGAGTCATTTTGTCCCCCTTCGCCTTTTTTCTCTCTGTCTCTCTCTCTCTCTCTCTCTCTCTCTCTCTCTTTCTCTCTCTCTCTCTCTCCATAGAAGTCCCTCTCTCGACTTTTCACTCTCTCGACTCAGCGACTCGAGTGCCGTCCGCCTCCGTCGCCTCCTCCGCCACCCGCAGCCATAAACCGAGTATCGCCGGCAGACCCGACACTCTTCTCTCTTCTCACCGGCGTTTTATTTATTATCCGAGGTTACTCCAGCGGACCGCGGCATCTGGGCAACTTTCCGCCCAAAGCGACCCTCTTCTTCCCCGGAGGGGCTGGCTGGCTGGCTGGCTGGCTGGCTGGCTGGTTAGCTGGTTGGTGCGATATCTGATGCGCGAAGCGCATTCAAAGTATTCATCGCGACGCGAAGCCTCGTACATCCTGATCTCCCGCCTGCATCGCATTCTTCGCAGCCGTGAGGCCGATCTTTTGATGGAACTCACTAATTGCAGCCCTTGGTCCTTTCAGGAGCTGTAGGGCGCATCGGATGAGCCGAGAATTTCGGTGAACGTCGATCTTGCCGGTCTCGCTCTCTCGCAGAATCTTTTATATCATGGACGCGTAACGTATTCAGCCCTCTCTGTCTTTTTCATCCGCGCTCTCTTTAAAATTCCTTCCGCCAAGATCATACTATTGACTAATTACTTTGCAATGTAAATCGCTAATGCGGAATGGAAAAAAGGACAATATTGATATACTTCGAATATTATTGCTAGTAATAGTAGAGAACTTGACTCTCTCGAAGATCTTGCTAAAATTTCACAATTAACTAAATACTTTTGCAACGTAAATCGCTGATATGAATGATAGAAAAACTATACTGATAAATTTCAAATATTACTATCAATCTATTTCGTCATTAGATGTATAAGGCATTCGACGGAAATGTGACAAAGAGAGGAAATGTGTGCACCGAAAATGCTGCATGGCATCGTAAGAATTTATTCATACAAAATATTCGTCGCATCTCCGGGAAGAGACGGAGGAAGTGCGCGCTACAATCAGAGAGATTTCATTATTTTTCGAAATTCTATCTCTTAAGTGACGCCATGTATCTATCGGGTCGGCTATCGACGCGGAGCGAGGAGCATCGAGACGATTTCAATGACGCATTTAGCCAGTATTGTAGAAGATTAGTATCGAGCCGCTGCATCCGAAGCTTGCTCGCGATTTACGTTTCAGTGATACAATAGCGCGTAGTTACGTCTATCGTTACGTCGCAGCGTACGCCATAAAAAGCGCTAACAGAAGAGCGATCTCAAATGGATATAATTATTACACGTCGCTTGATTCGTCTCGACGTCAATGACGGTACGGACGGCCATTCAGCGCCATCCCGGGACGCCCGGGACGTCGATGCGATTTTATAAAAACGTAAACGCGCGCCGAGAGCGAATTTTTCGAGATATACTCACATTTCGAGACCGGGTGATAACGTGCGCTGATCAATAATACAAAATCGCGACCATCGAGATGCGAAATTATTTAGCACAGCACCGTATCGCGAAGTAGAGCGGACATTGCGGCTTTGAGCAGGCAGAAAAAGTAGAAGCAAATTGCGCTATCGTCGGCAATCAGTAAAGCCACGTTTCATCATTGTGACGTGAAAACAAAAAAGAGAAAGGGGGAGGCGGCGGCGGGGGGGGGGCGGGGGAGAGTAGGAGAGGAAGAAGAGGAGGGGAGAGAAGGCAGAAAAAAAAAGTTATCACACCATTGAGCGTAGATACAACCGAGCGTGATATTACGAAATAGAACCAAGAACGACGGGATTACCAGCTTGATTTAGGAATAGAGGCGGAAGAGAGGCGAGGCCATTTTACGCTTCCCTTCACAGCGTACATGCGGCGACGTACTCACCTCGATGTACGACCTTACTGAACACACTGGTGATGATCTGCAGTTCAGGATTTACCTTCTCGCCGAGCTGAAACAGAAAAACAGCTTTCTTTGTGTATCCGGCTAAAACGACAGCGACACCCTGTCGCATGCGTACACGTTATACACACACGCGCGCGAGCGCGTGCATGCAAGCCGACAATGTCCTTCGCATCTCCTCTCGCTTCTCTCCCGCGCCTCCCCCCACCGCTATTCTCTGTCCTGATACGTTTTCCATCGATTTCCCATGAAAAGGGGTTGTTCGGGTGCTGCTAAGTGCACCGCATAAAGAGGTGAAGGCAAAGAGTCGTTCCGAAAGTTCTACACTGGGCACCCATTAAAGGTAACCGTAAAACCCGACTAAACCGACCGCGCGGACTTTAAAGTAACGATAAATAACAAAAGTTGATCCGGCCGGAGGTGCCGTCGATCAAAAGTTCCATCGTTTCCTCGGCGTAGCGCGAAATTATTATCGCTGACTCCGCGCGCGCGCGCGCACGCCGTCGCTCCGTTTCCCGTAAATAAAAATAAACAAGTGGATAAGAAAACGGATAGGCGGAAGCGCAAAAAGAAGACGCGGGGGAGAATGCGAATCGAGACGGAATGTGTATCCCACGGCATGGATATCCACTGGATATTCCTCGATATTCAGATTTATGGATCTTCGATAATTAAAACCGCCGATACTACCGCCGCACGGCGAAACGTTTCGTGAGAATGCGAGTGCAAAAGCTTCTATAAGTGAATTACGGTAACGTAATCGGTGCGCAATCATTGTTCGTTCACTTGACGCGGGGAGAAATGCGACATCGTGTACGAAAGGCATTGATTGAATTCATTATACAATATTTCTGCTCTCCCTCCCTTCCTCTCTCTCTCTCTCTCTCTCTCTCTCTCTCTCTCCCTCTCTCTCTCTCTCTCCCTCTCTCTCTTTCTTTTTCTCTTTCTCTGCCTTTCTAGTTCAGTTGAAAAATGCACTTCGCGACGATTGCATAAGCAATGGAATTTTAATATAGCGCGAACGTTGCAATTTTAAAGGTCTTCAAAAGAAGTCAGCATTTAAAACAGATTATATTGTGCGCTGTATGATTTTTTCGTTTGCCGATCAAACGCACGGGTGATATCTCGCTAAAATTATCCGACTAAAAACCACTACTAAGAGACAACGAACCAGTTCCAGTTTTTAATCAATTGACCGTCCCAATTTTTTTAATTAATTGAGAATTGCAAGGGATGTAATCGAGATTCAGCTGCGAGACGGACAAGCATCGCGAGAGAATGTCGACAGTTTAATCTCCGTTTAAATTTGTTATAATGAAGAGACCCTAATCTTAATTATGAACCAAGAGAATTAATTTCAATGACGGCCGTTCTTAAACGTTCTTAATCCCCGTCGCTCGGGGACGAACACAGTTGAGAGGATTCGCGGTAATAGCGACTTCTTAATATTCATTTAATCGAAAGAAAGTTCATTTGTCGTTAACACGGTCTCAAATTTTAAGATAGATACACATACACACACGACAACGGCGACGACGCTCCATCTGTGCACTCTGATTTCTCGAGAAAGCTTTGCTTGTCACATATGTATTTATTTATTGCTTCATCGCAATTATATAATTTTTATGTTCAGAAATATCGTCCAAACCGGTGTAGAGTGCAGGGAATTAGCTGACATTGGATTTGGCGTCATATTACGTGTACTCTGCACGGCACGACAAACATAGGTAATTAACGAAACCGACTCTATCACTTCCCCTCCCTCTCTCTCTCTCTCTTTCTTTTCTCTTTAGCCTCTTTCGCTCTAGCCGATTTGGAATCTTTCGCATCGACCGTGTTTCTCCTTTCGTTTGATCGCACAGAATTCCCGTCTTTTGTCATTCGATAGAGACTATCGGCTGATAGCCGAGGTAAACTGACGCGTGGCGTAATTATGGGCTAGTAATTTCCTCGTTAGACAAGCGATAAACAACCGGCCGTGATAATTACTCGATTATGTTGATAAAGGATATTTGCTTATCGAAGGGGAAGGGTTGGACGGCGCGCTATTACAACCAGTCGATTGCTGTTGCATCGAGCCTTTTACTTTCGAAACAGCCAAGTGAAATTCATCAGCTCGACACGCGAATTTTAACTCTGTCCAATACGAACGAATTACGACGCTGGTATTCGCAGCGCGTAATTTGCTCTTTTGCTTTCTGTCATTCTCCCTCTCTCTCTCTCTCTCTCTCTCTCTCTCTTTCTCTCTCTCGCTCTGTTCCTCTTTTTCCCTCAGTATATCGAAAATAAATTTGCGAAAATAAAGTCGCGAAGTTCGCGTGTTGCGAATAAATTCCGGACTTCGTTCCGACGGCGCTCCGAAACTTTTTTCCTGATAGCTCGTGTTTTCCGGTGCGGTGCCTACGTTTCGTGGATTTTAGATCGTAGCGATTCATCCGTCTATCCGTCCGTTCTTTCCAGGAGAAACTTTCGCCTCCATTCAATTGACGTACTTTCTCGCTAACCTTTAAGTATTTCATAGAGGCTTTTGCCACATGGAAGTACGCGCCGCTGACACGTTACCGTACACGTATGTGCGCGCATACGTGTGTGTGTGTGTGTATGTGTATGTATGCGGCAAGACCGAACAATCAAGTAGCACGTGATTGCGTGAATCGTAGAAAATCACGATAACGGATTGCCAACGTCGAACCGTATCTGTCGTGATAAATTATTTGCGTTATCATTCCGGCGCGTATTCCGCAACGACTCGTCTATCAATCAGTGTATCCGTAATTGACGCTATGCGGATCTTTATGGCGTTATATAAAAGTTCTCCTCGTGTTTCGCGCGTTAAAACGGCAGTGAAGTTCGTTTAGGTCCGAGATCCTAAAAGTACCGACAGTATCTCGCGGAGGTAGCGACTCATTTGGATCTCATCCCTCAGACACCCCAGGGTATAATCCGTTTGAATTACAGTCGTCAACCCCGTTGCTTCTAGACACACCTTTACGATCTATTCGTCGGGAGATCGAGCACCTGTTAAAGGTTTCCAGAAGGATGATGCCGTAGCGTCCGCTTTGGGATTATTCGGTGCCACCAGAGCTTTCGGACGTGCGGCTGCTCCGTATTTGTCCGAGTTACTTTAGCCGTTTCATTGAAATTTATGATTCCGCAGCGCAAAATTACTTCGTATTCGTACTAAATGTTTCCTATTTATACAAGCTTTAATTCATGGCATTCAGATTCCAGTCTTTCGTCATGTGTGAGACATATGTATAGAACACACACGCACACACACACTCTCTCTCTCTCTCTCTCTCTCTCTCTTCCGTTGTAATGTTTAATTTAAAATTATTTAAATCACACAATTACGAAAGAGAGATCGTGTAAATTTTTACGATTCAATATATTATATTATACTACGTTATATTATATGTCCGAGATTAAAATTCAGTTATACTCATTCCCGTCGCTCCCGTTTTGATTTCATATTTTTCTCCCGAGAAACAAGACACGTGTGTTTTAAAAACAATACCACGCACTTGCACTTATCCGTCATATTAATCGAATGACGAATTAATTTAACAGCGCACGTGGCGAGCTATAAACCCCGACAGAAAAAGACTATTAATTATAACGACACTATTATTTCCGACATTATTGCATCGACAAACTCTTTTCATATGGCCTTAAGGTCATCGCCTTCGGTAAACCGCTCATAAACATATCCTTAAGAATATTCAGAACTTGCTGTCGTCTGTCAACAGCTGGGTCAACAGTGCGTCGTTACGTGCTATAGTCACCTTTTGCGACACACATAAGTTCTCTTTCTTTCTCTCTGCTATTCCGTTCTGTCTCTCTCCTATTCGCGGTTCGCGGTTTCGAAAGCTGAGTTACTAAAGAGAACGAAAAACGGACGGAAAAGGGCGTTCGCGCTGAAAGAGAGCGAAGCGAGCAACGAAGAAGACGTAAGGTCGTTGCTGAAACTTTCAAAGTTATTCCAGAGGTAAATACAGTAGGGTTGGCAGCAGTAGCTATTGCATGTTTTACATTACGTGTACCGGCCGTCTTCCGGCATGGAAAGTGGTAGAAAGAGAGACAGAGAATGCATTACGTGACGATAATCTCTTTCATTTCAGATTATGATATGCGAAAAATATTCTCGTCGAGGTAAAAAATGTCAGGCAACAAGAACGGCTCGCTCGTGCTTTTCTATCCCTTTTTCGAATGCGAACAGTTGCGAAGAATCGGCGCGCTCGTGGCTCCCGCGATGCACGAGCGTATAATTTTTGACTGACAGGATTAAAATCTTGTAAATATTAAAATTCTTCGCGTTGGGTCTTCGGACACTTTTAGAGAGATTCCTTGTCTTTCCAAAGCGATTCATTTTTAAGTTATAATTTTCTAGTCAATTGGAACAGATTCGCTATACATTTTTAGTCTATTGCAAAAATGTTACAGCGAAAGAGGAAAGTTTTATTATTAGATTATCACGTATACATATTGTACAAGGTGGCGCACATAACTCTTTACGGTTCAATATATCTCGGAAACTATTTCATCGATTTTAAAAGTTTAGGTCTTGGATTGTACGCGGATCCTTCGGATCCGCGTACCTTCAAACTGAAATGGAAGTTAGTCTCTCAACGCCGATTGCATGGGACGGGAATTAACTTTAAAATTTTAGATGGAAACCCCTGCAAAATTACATTTTTAAATTCTATGAAAGAAAAACAACTTAATTTTATCCAAAGCATTTTTTGTCAGATATTTTCATTAAAAAATATGAGGGTATAAATTCGACTTACCGCTACAATACATAAAACAAATAATCGCATAAAATCGAAATCACAATACTCTATTCTGTCTTGTTCAATTTATTAGATGTTTAAACTATCCACCGTGTAAATTTTTATTAGACTTGTAAACATTTATTTTTCCGTATTAACAAATTATTCCCAACGTTTGATAACATTTCGAAAGTCACTGAAGCGCAAATGTCACGTACACTTTGGTTTATGTTTCAACATCAGCGGTCCCCAAACATAACCTTTTTTTCAGAAAAAAAAAATACTGCCACACTGATCAATAGATTCAAATCAATTATTCATAAAGATTTGCTAAATTTTAAGCTAATGAATAATATCGTAGAAATCATGACTACGTTTGAAAGTACGAAAGTGTAACTAATGTTGTGTGAATGCCAAAAAATAGCACATTGCAGCAGCAATATTTTTCAAACATTATACGATCAAAAAATCGTATGACATTTTTTTAGTTTAGAAAGCGGCTTTATAAGCATGATGAATTGCGTAAAACAACTGTATACGTAAAATATTTCATATAATAAATAAACGGCACAATAAAAGTGTTATTAATGAGGATTAATCAATAGGACTCGAGACGACGAATCCTAATACCTTTTCGTGACTCTTCCAAGCATCATTACACTTTAAACAATTTTAATAAATTGTTCGAACAGCACCCTTCGTAGGTTATTTTCAAAAAGTCAAAGTGGCCGTAATTTTCATAATAAGCATATAAAAATATAGATCGTTGGATTCGTCTTTTCGAGCCCCATCACCAACTGGTGTTATTTTCGTAGAGGGTTTCTGTTTAAAAAATGTGCGCGCCCCTCCCTCCCTCGAAGTCCGATACGGAAAGGTACGGTTCCTCCGCGCGGAAAATCATCTCGAAGTAAAGCCATTGAAGAAATTTTTTTGATTTTTCCTCTTTGCTACTTCACGAAATATCGGCCTGGACAGATTAAATCGAACACCCTGTATATGCATGTGTTATTTTACATACACATATACGTTACATATATTTTTCACTCTCTACGCTATCTATTTTTTAATGTATATAACATCAGAAGACTACATTTATGAAACTTTTTCCGTTTATATCTTTATATCTTTTCAATAAAAATTGACTATTGTTAAAACTTTTTAAAAATTGCTCAGTAAGATGACTTTAATATTATATATACCAAGCTTAAGGTTATTAGAGCTGACTCTATTTTTATCAATAATAAGTTTTCTTTCATTAAATTCAAAAATGTAATTTTATATAGGAGTTTCTATTTAAAATGTTAAAGTTAACTTCCGTTCCACCAATATAATCGGGGTCAGCAAATAAACTTTTACTCTAGTTTGGAGACCCTTCAGATCTATATATTTTAAGATCTAAACTTTTAAAATCGACGATAGTTTTCGAGATATAGAGTAAATAGTGATGTAGATCACTCTGTATATTAATTACGTTATTTGCGTGCAATGTAATAATTGAGTTTCTCTCTTCCTCCCTATTTCTTTCCAGATTATTCTACCAGCACAATGCAGAAATCTGTAGGGAAAAAATATGACGCAATATTTCCATCGAAGCTTGCAAATTTAGTTTGCAGACGATCTGAAAGGAGCTGTTGAAAGTGGTTGTCCGCGAGCGTTGGAGCAAAATAATTGTTCCGCGATAATAATTCCATTGCCCGAAGAGGAAAATGCGCGGAGAAAACGAGTTTCATTATTTTCTGTATGATATTAAAATCGCATCGCTTTGATCACGGGCATCAATACAATCCGATTTATTCTTCATGTGCATACATACATTTCGCATATCCAATATCGTTGCGATATAAAGAAAGAAAAACATAATAATAAATCCATTTATTGTAAGATGCACAATGTAACGATGTTATATGATACGTAACCCGGTGGAACGAAAAATTTAATGTAAATGCTACAAGTGAAAATATAAAATGAAAGTACAAAATATTTCAGTTATTCGTGTCTCGCCTATTCGAAGCACCCGCTCATCAATAGTTTCGTCGCGATTTGTAAATTTATTGATTTATCAGTTCATGCACGTTTCTTCACAACAGGCCGATCGGTGTGCAAACATCACGATTGTCTAGGGGTTAACTGTCAGAACTACGGTTTGGCGTTTATATTGAGAAGAATGAAGAAAAATGAACTGGAGAGTAAAAGAAAAAGGAATAGGAAAGAGAGAGAGAGAGAGAGAGAGAGAGAGAATCGCACAAAGAAGGGAGCTTGCAATGCAGAGATTCAGTCGGTAAAGCCGGGATATTCTTCTTAAAACTTTGAAATCCATTCCTGTATTAAGTGTCTTGGAAAAATTATGTTTGCTCGCAGACTTCGATTAAAATAATTATGCCATAATAATGATAAACAATAAATGAAAATGTATAAGTCACTAATGCAAGATCTGTTTGAGAGAATAACAAGTAACATCCGTAGTATCACCGAATTATAATCGCGATAGACTTTTTATGGTCTCCGCCGTTCACCTGTTACACGCACATACTTAAACGTTTTGACATACGTCGGCGTTTCGTGCACATATTTTTCTGAAATCCTAAATTAATAAGAAGCTTTAATCGGTTGTTCAATAGATTGTTTAATAAAGATCTTGTTCGTTTTTACGGTGAATCTCTCAGTCCTTGTTAGACGCATATACATATCTCACAGTCACCGCGGATAAAGGATTAGTAAAGTTGGGAGAGCCAGCCGTTGGCTGTTAATTTTTCGCAAAACGAGCGTTATTAGCGTGGACGGCTGGCACGTCGTCACGCGTTAACTACCTTAATCTCTGCTACGCCGATTGCATTTGTAAGGGGAAGCGAAGTGCGTGGTCCAAAGTCGAAAGTTAGTATCACGATATGCGCCCTGTTAGGAACGGCTTGTCAAGCCGTTGAGAGACGGGAAATCAGGATGCGGTATTAACTGTCGATGTAATCATCAATTTACGTCCTACGTTCGCTCGATTAAACATTGAGATAGCGATAGATCGTACGCGCATTCCGTAGCCTGGTAAATTTTATTTCTATATTATACAATTTCTTTCTCCGAGAGATATTAAGCACAGCGTTGACCGCACGGCACGACCGGGACCCAGGAGCGACTTTTAATTACGTTTTTATTAATGAGTGGTACGAGATTTAACATTTGTAACAATTTATAACGTGGAAGATGCGCGCATACAAAAGTCTTTACGGACCGGGTCTGTTTGAAAAATGGATGAAAGTTTGTCCGAGTAAAGCCTCGACGATAAATTTACTCACCTGCACCATCAACGAGATCGCCACTAGTCCTTGACTTTTGTGCTGCGCCTCGCTCATATTGTGATACAGTTCGGCGTTAAAACCGTAGACTTGTATCTGCAACAGAAAACCGCAAAGAAATTACTTCCCTGGAGGAATTGTGCCGCTAGCATAACCGTATCTCCCGCAACGCCGACAAATTTCGTCCTCGCACGAACAAATTCTCGAGTTTAGAGTTTAGATTCCGGAACATTTCGTGCTCGAGAACGCCTAGTACCACATCGTTCTCCTCGTTACCCCTCGCTCCTATCTTCTCTCGAGATCGACTCGCTACAATCACGTCTCTCGTCAACAATTGCCAGCTTCGTTGCACTTAATTAAACGCACAGCTCAATGTGTTTCGAGTCGATATTGTTCAAGTTGATCTTTTGCACATCCATGTAACGGTGATACATATAAAATACGGCGACCCGATAAAAAACGATAATCCCAGGACCAATATTAAAATTTTTATGAACGTGAATTCTTTTATTTCCAGTTTATGTATTTTGTATACGCTCGGAACACACACATACACACACACACACACACACACACACACACGCACATATGAAAGTAAAAAATTCCACTATACGACTGGCGTCTGAGGTATTCGGCTTTATCTCTTACATATCCTAAACAAATATTTCACAAATATTTATCGAACACATGCATGGCATTAAATCGCATGGCAGTGTATAAATTTTGTAACTTCAGAGGTACCGAAATTCTTAAGCGCATGCCATATGGGGGGGGGGCGAGGGTGCTCTTTTCCTTTGATATTTCTGCGTGCCGTTTTATATCAAAAGTTTCGCATTTGATAAACGGAAATCGTTATGCTACGCATTTTCTGTGAAAGGTTATAAAACTTTTACGACGAAAGGATAATGCAACAAATATCGTTTTTCACTCTCACTCCTCCCCTCTTTCTTCTTTCCCTCCCACCCTCTCTCTCTCTCTCTCTCTCTCTCTCACACACACACCGTTACAATCGTCACGTTAACCGAGTCGACGTGATTTAACGACAGGCAGCTCGAGATATAATCCATTTCTTCCAGAAACTCGTGGTAACTCGCAGCTCGCAGGTAAGTCGCGAGACGGATGTATTGTCGACGTGCGCGCGGTCGCGGAGGCACGAGAGCGGCATTCAGTTTATAGAGGAACGGAAAGCAAGTCGCTCGTGAAATGTATCTTGTTTTTGGGACATACATCTCGTTTCGTATCTCATTTCTCGCGAATGTCACCTGCTATATAAGTTCCGTATGCTGGATAAGGCACGGAAAAGACACGTACGTGTGCTCTCTTCGCGAAGAAAAGGATCTCGCCGCGATCGCTCCTCTTTACAGTATTCCTCTCTCTCTCTCTTCCTCTCTTCCTCCTTCTCTTCCATCTTCTCTCCTTTTCTCTCTCTCTCTCTCTCTCTCTCTCTTTCCCCTCCTCCCTTCCTCTTTCTCTCTTCCTTTTCCTCTTTTCCCTTACCTTCCTTTTTCTCTCTCTCTCTTTCTCTCCCTCTCTCTCCTGTTTCTTTTTCCCCTCTGCACCTATCTCTTCAATTCTCTCCCTCCCTCTTTATTCCTCTCTTTCATTCTTTCTCTCATTTCGTTCCTCCTTTTCTCCACCTGTCCTTCGGCGTATCCACATATCTGTTTCTTTTGGCGAGTAATGGTATTGCCACGGCACTTCCGGTTATGCCTAAGGGTTCCATAGATGCTCACGACACGAGTTCCTTCTTCAAAGACAGCGGGTATGCTGCTGCAACATGACGAACGAAGGTAAGAATATGAAAAAGGAGACGCGAAACGTGCGAGAAAGAGAGAGAGAGAGAGAGAGAGAGAGAGAGAAGAGGTGAAAAAGGATGCGAGAAAGATAGCATGATGTAGAAAGGGGAAGCAAGATGATTGCCGCCAGTGAGTGTAAATCCACTGTGCCTGATCAAAGCACGACTCGTACTACTAGAAATAGGAAAGATTCTCTCTTTCTTCTCATTTTCGTAAAATTTTCTCCTCTTCCTCCTACTTCTGCTCTTCTTGCTCTCCTCCTACTTCTCTTCTCTCGTTCCGACCTTTCCTCTTCATTCAGTTCACAACATTCTGCCTTTTTCTGCCTTTTAGCAGGATATTTCTCTCTTGGTGGCTATCACCGAAAAATTTTGTATTCTCTTCGACGCAGTTTTCCGTTTCAATCGCTTTCAGTCACGGGAGATAATTTGTCGGATATCGACAGGAATAGAATTGCGCGGACGGTGTTTATTAGAGTGTTCTAATGTGTTTTACGAATTGAAAAGTGGAAGTGGATTGGAAAGCTATATCTGCATTCGCTCTATGTAATATCGAGCGACTAATTAAGGGGATTGATAACGCTAAGTGCTTTAATTTGTATGCGCGCGCATATTTACAGACGCGTAATAACATTGTAGCAGATGTTCAAATCGATCTTTCCATACGAAAATGACCAGTAATATTGGCAAAACAAAAAAATACCAATTATCCTGACGCGCAACATACATTTATTATTATTCGCTTATTATTCGTCATTCCGATTAACTTTGTTTCCACGTGTCCTTGATACTTTCACCCGTCTGAACGAAACAATGTCGCACTTCGCATTTTGATTCGCCACATACACTCATTATCTAGATCTGCAAAATAATAACTCGAAATAACTCGAGGAAGAAAGGAGCATGACAGCCTACAAAGAAGCAAAGTTTGTGCGCGACGTAATTCCCCGGCGAGACTGAAGGAAGAAATTAGCAAGGTGACTTATTTCGACGTTTGATTGACGGTTTTTACATGCAACCTGAAAGTTTCAATATTTATCGCGGGCAAACAGAAGTAGTAGTAGCGCGGGGGAAGTTAGCTACGAAAACAACAGCGTCTCGAGAATTCAGGGAGTATTCATTCGAACTTCATGAAATTTAATGCATGAATATATTTCAAGACTATCTGCAGCTAGTTCTAAGGTAAATGGTATGGTGGCGCGCATTTAACCGTAACTTTTACGTACCAATATATTCCAATTTCTGGGAGATCAACATGACGTTTTATTATATTGCGCGCGCGTATCAATAGACTTTTCATAACGTCGGAATTATGAATCGCACATCGATCGAGTCGAGATGACACGTTGTTTCTCCTATCCCTCGTTACTTCTTCTATCCCTTTATCTGTAAGCACGATCGTGCTCCATCTCGTTTTTTCGGCGTTATTTCGAATCTGGATAAAATCTCGCGACTCTTAGCCGCCGGATGATCTGAAACTTCGTTGCCACGGCCGGGCAAGATCTTGCTTGACGACCGTGCCAAGGCGGCGTGTGTATAGTCAGGCTTTCTGAAATTTGCTACGCTCCGGGAATTCGAAATTCAGCGCGCGGCTACACGCAAAGTGCCGAGCTGGCCCTCGCTCTACTTCGCGCTTCACGTATACCATCCGATCTCCTCTCGTATCTTCTACACTCCGCCTCTCATCCTGGCGCGATGCCTCTTTCCCGACCGCTTCCTCGCACTTTACCCGGCCACTTTGCCTCCACTAGAGCATAATCACCATCCTGGAAGACTGTGACAAACCCGCAAACACGACCGCGCATGCAGTAAATGCATTATCCTTTTTTTAAGCGGCACCGTCGACCACGTTCCTGTTCGTGATTATTTTTACACACACCCGAGCTAATTTCGTTGACGAGAAATCAATGCAATTCTTCTCGATATTATCGTAATACGCAAATGCTGTTCTCATCCCCCATCGATACTGGTATTTATTATTGCGAAAGTCAAGGAAAGATTGCCTAAGAGAATCTTACCCAAAGAAAACACAATGTTCGAAATGATTTTCTATGATATAACACTCGACACGTTGCTAACGCTGAATAGTAATAGTAACTAATAGTGACAACACTAGTTAACCTATTGGCCTGGACCTATGAGGCCATCTCGTAGTTACGATGCAAGCTGCCCGACCGGACATACGAAACTGTCTCGCGTTCAAGCAAACTTCGCCTGAATCTGATTACACAGCAACCCCGCGTGACTCTGTCACTCTTGCGAGTATACCGTTTCTCCAAAGTATCCTGAATGTATAAAACGTGTGGCCTCCACGTGGTATCGAGCTGTCCGCTCGTGTGTCGATCCCGGTGCCGTGCCCGGATTAATCCGAAAATATTATAGTAAGCGCCGATTCCAAGCAAGATCAGTCCTTTCTCCTAATCAGATGCGACGCTCTCATATTCATAACATCACGTGTATTCTTCGTGTGCGGCACTTCTACGTAGGAAGCAGGCAGGTGATAACGTCCCAGGAACGTCACGGCCGATATGAATATTCGATACGCGCGCGGTTCATTCGTCGGGTGCACCAAGTGTAAAATCAGTGAATGCAATCGCTAGGTCGGACGTACTAAACTGAAAGATCGGCATCTCGGGATACGTATGGTTGAAAGGTATATAATGTATTTTTTAGAGATGTGCGAACTATTCGAATTCGAATCGAGTCCCTATGATTCGAATCCGAATAATTCGAAAATCTCGAATCGCGAAGATTCGAATACGAATAAAATATATTAGCGTTTGGGCGTATCAGTTATAAAACGGGCCATCTGGGCCTGTATAATCGAACCCTTAACTTATTTTTAATTAATTATTAACTAATAATGTTTAATTACCGTAATTAACCTAACTTATAATTAATAACTTAATTATAAATTACTATAAATATTTAAATATATATTTTAATATATATTTTATGGATATTTATCGATATATATTAAATATATATTTTATTTTAAGATAATATTACAATATTAATATTTCCTTTCATATTAAAATCTTCCATCATTATTCGCACGTTTAATATTCATGTTAAATTTTTTTAATGGTTCGATTCGATTTGATTCGAATTCGAATGAAATTTCATAGATTCGATTCGATTCGAATTCGAATTTAAAAAATGAGATTCGATTCGATTCGATTCGACAGAAAAATTCTTGATTCGCACATCTCTAGTATTTTTCCATCAAATCCGGAGCCGATTTTTCCCCGATTTCCGAATTCTAATAGTTTGTCACGAGAGAATCAGGGAAAAACAGTAG